AATAAATGAACCATGTTTTACCTGTTATATTGCTCATCTCTATTACTGCTTCATCAGCATCTTTTCCCAAAGCGATAAAATGAACAATGGCCCCACTTTGTTTTACTTCATCAATACAAGAACTTGCAGTGTTATCCTCCCCATCAGTCAGCAGCACTATTTCAGATCCATCGAGTTGGGAGTATAGCTCTCTAATCACCTGTAAAGGTAATTCAGAGCACAGTTACCAACAGGCATTCCGAGATCAAATAGACCAATGGGAAATAAGAAAAAAATTACAGAGAAAATAAACACAAGTTATGCAGAATAGAAGAGATGTCCTCTATTTTAAAATAAGAATTTTCAGGCAACAGTTTTTGGGGGAACTTAAACATGAATTTCTTTTTAACTCCCAGAAGCAGGGAATATTTATTTAAATGAATTAGGTGGGATCAGGCTTTGGAAATTCCTGTCTAGACTAAATGGTGATAACATCTCAACCTGGGAAACTCAGGTCAATCAGATACCAAAGGTATAATTATAGTATATGACATTAAATAGTGTTCTGTTTTCTTTAACTGGACTACCCTCTAACAGATAAGCTTTCAGTTTATAAAGTCTGTTGCACTTACAGCTAGGCCTTAAGAATCCACTTCAACATTTTCAAAGTCAGTGATTACAAATTAGTAAACCCTCACTATGCTTATAAAGAAAAAATATGGAAAGTTCTAAGCATGTGGTTAGGGACCTTGTTATGCAACTTTGATTTACTTCTAATAATAACTGGCACAGAACTAAGCATATTGGTGATGCTCAAATAATACATGAAAATTATATTTGTAGCTTGAATCCCTTTCCTAAATGCCAAACAGTTTGAAACTCAAAGTTTTGAATCTAGGTGCCCGTAAAAGAGGATAAACAGAGAACTTAGCCCAGGATGACAACTATATTTCATTTTATTTGACACTTTTAATTGGTAGTGGCATCTTGGAGCACAATTTTGAGACACTGAGCCTAGGCCAAGAGGCAACAAATGACAGATTACCAGTGGCTTTCTTTAGCATGGAGTGGAGGTATTTGTGAAGATGTGCAGAAGAGGGTTTGGAATGTAGAAATCCCTAAGAAAGCTGGATCAGGGGATAAATTGTGTACCCTTACGACAAACTTTGCATGTTTTGAGGCAAAGAATGACTAATACATATATTGCAATATATGGGAAATATTCTCTGACATGCATTGAAACCAAACAAAAAGATAGGAAAATGCTTTTATACATTTAGGGCATTTGTAGCATCTCCATCACACTTCTCCCCTGCATTTAAGTACAAAATGAAGATCCAAAGATGAAGCAGAGTTCTCTCTTTCATCTTTCCTTTTCTTGCATGTGTTTATTTAGCAAGCATTTACAATGTGTCAGTCACTGTGCTGGGGATTCAGTAGGAACTACATTCCTATATTAATAAATAACTGGGTTCAATTTAACAATGTTTATGGAGCTTTGTGACAGAGACTGAGGAGATCTACAGATGAACAACAAAGACAAAACTAATATGTATTTACCACAGAATGTTCTATAGTTCAAGAGAAATAACAATGTAGTGTCAACAGTTTACTGAATACTTCCTATGTGTTAACTGTGTTTTATACATTGTATAATTTAATCCAAATCCAAGCTCCCAAAGTGTCTTCCTATTACCACTCTTACTGCCTACAATTTGTTTTATTCAGGGCAATTGGAATCATCTTCCTGGGACATAAATAGATGATCAAACTCTGACACTTTGAAGCATTCGGGAGCTTTCTGTTGTTCTTGAAACAAAATACAAGCCTCTTATTTTTTGACATTTTGAAAGATCTAGTCATTTTCTATTTCTCCAACCACATTTCATACCCCCTCATTTGCCAAACTCCAGTGCCACTAGCTTCTACCATTTCTTAGAATAATCCAGTTTTTTCTCACCTTTTTCCTAAGGCACTTTTGCACTTTCTTTTTTAACTGAACTACTGTCTTCTTCTCATCCTTCAAATCAGAGCTTAAATGTTACTTTTTAGAGAAGTCTCATTGGCCTCTCTAACCAAAGTAATTCTCCTTTCCCTGTTATTCTGTCATATCTCCCTGTTTGGTTTATTCACAACACTATATAATCTGCAGTTCTTGTTTTTATCTATCTATTTATTATCTGTTCCCTACTTATATAAATATTCCACAAGAGTGAAAAAGCTTCGCTTGGTGAATTTAAAATTAAAACATGTTCGTATTTTGAATGAATTAAAGCATGAGCAACTCTATGTGATAGCTTTAATTATCCTATTTTACTGATGAGGTAATTGAAGCCTAGAGAGGATGTGAATCATGTTTAGGGTCATAAAGCTAATAAGTTACAATTGTGATTTGAATGTAGGACTTCATGTTACAAACCTAAACTAAAATGTCATGCAATTCATGGAAGAGAGAGATTCAATTGGGTCAGGAGTAAAAGGGAAGCTATATGAAGAAGAAATAATTTTGAAGGATTGGTAAAATTTTAACATGCAGAGACAGGCTTTGGGGTGGGGGAAGGAAGCATTTTAAATAGAGGAATTTGCATGTGCAAAAGTTTGGAGGCTGTTAGTACATAGTGGACTTGGAGAACAATGTGTGTAGTAAGTTGGTTGGAGGATAAAAAAGAGAGGGGAGAATTGAGAAATAAGGCGGTAAAGATACCTGAGGGCAATTTTACTGCGTTGGGGAGACATTTTAGTAATGTCAGACTGAGAAATTGAGACAATTTTGTAGACTGTGAAGAGACAGTGAAGATTTCTTAACAGTAAAATGACATAATTGATATTAGTTGTGGGCTCAAGATGACCATTTGGCTAAAATAATGTTCATGATAATTATGCATATATTTAACTAATTATTATAAATAATTATATACTTATGATAAATTATTATATATTTATTACATATAATATTTGAACTATATATTTACTACATAATATAGTAAATACTGTTCTAAGTATGTAAATGTATCATTTCACATAATCCTTGTAATTATTCTATGAGGTAGGCATTCCTATTTCTTATATTGTATAGATGAGGCACTGAGAGTCCAAAGAGACTGAAATGTTAGTTTAAGATTACACAGTAAGTAGCACATCCAGTATTCTGATGTCAAAGTTTATGCTCTAATTCTTGTCTTACCCTAAATATGACTCACAGTCTTGCTACATCTGCTTTAAGAGGTCCAATAAATAATTGGCCCTCACTGAATGTTACAGAAGCTCAAATGAGAATTAACTTAAAGTGGAATACTATGTCATCTGTGTCACTGCCCCAAAATTGATGGCTTTTGCATCTAAGCACACTTATTTAACTAACATTTATCAAGCACTGACTACTTCATGGTAACAAGACAGCAAAGTCCCTGACTTCCTTGGGCTTGGACGTGAGTGGCAAATTTATAGTCAGTTATTCACCCATGGGTTGTTCGTTGATTCATTGATCCATAAAAACATCAAGAGAATTTTTTTTCTGTATGCTTAGTCCTGTGCTTCTCAGGATTACTTATGTTAAAATTAGGCAGCAAGCATGTGCAGCAGCACTTAACGAGAAAATCTCCTTCTTAACGTGAAAAAGAAACAAAAAACAAAATATATTTGCAGTACGATGTTCACCTGAAATGCGGATTTAATTCCAGAGCAGATGGAAGTTCCTCCCTGAGCATATGTAGGTAACTTTTCCAAGAGTGTATTTCTTTCATTGCTGCTTATTATTTGGATTAGCTTATTTATAATAGTGGCAGTACTATCAAAGTGAACCATCCCCACCCAGGATCCATTTTCAACAGTCTGCAGCAGGAATTGTATTGCTGCTTGATTCATTCGATTCAGGCGGTTATAACCCTAGATCAAAAAGATGAGAAAAACAAACAAGTGATTTTTGACTGGAAAATAATAGAAGATCACATAAAACGAATGAACAGAATTTATTGATAAGATGTTCTATGAACAGTAGTCAATGTTGTTAAAGAATTGATAAAATTAAAAAAAGGTGGTGTGTATTATTGGACACATTTTGCATAGTAAGGAGCACAGGCTTTTATTTATAGCTGATTCTTAACTGCTAAGTACCCAAGTTAGAGGTGGAAGCTAGGGTGGGGATTGAGTTGAAATTGGGGTGAGGATACAAATTTTAGAGACTCTCCAATTTCTCCTGGTAGCTTCTGTGCCTTTTGTCTTCAGATAAAACCATACTCCCAAGCCTATAAATCAAACCAGATGATTGTAAACTCCAACCAGAGACTGGAATCACTCCATCCACTGGAAAGTACACTGCTCAAAAGGTAAAACTTAACCCAAGCTTCGCTTTAAATTGAGAGAGGCCAAGCCCCTATCTTCCCACTTTCTCTTTCTGTTCCTAACCTCTCGCTGCCTGCTTTCCACCAATGGGTTTATTGGAATTGGCTCTTTGATAACCTTCAGGACCCAGCCCTCTTTCAAAGGTGATTGTCTAGGGTGTAAGCTTCTTCACGTGTTTGTCTTCTCCGGTCTTTATCACCATATTGATCTGTTACTCCTCACCAACTTATGCCTACATTTCCTTCTGAACTCCCTGAACCAAATGACAATGAAAATCTTCTATATCTTCATTTTACATGCTCCCTCCACTACCTGCATTATAGTGACTCGATTCCTTCAGCTTTCTCATTCTCTACCCTTTTTAATACCTCCCCCCATTTGCTGAAGATCTTATTGTTGTTCTTCAGCATGCATTGTTCTGCCTTAAATGTGCCATTTTTCTGGTTTCTTATCACATTGCAGTAACTTGTTTGCCATCCATTCATTTCAATAATTATTTGTTGATCACCCATATGTGATTAAATTTATTCTAGGCAATGGGGATAAAAAGATGAATAAAATATGGTTCCAAGTCTTAGAAGATCTCCTAGGCTAGTGGAAGAGAAATGTGTAATATAAATATAATATACAGTAATAGAGGTATGTGCAGGGCATTGTTGGGAATCAGTAGAAGGACTTTAACCAGCCTAGAAGCCCAGTCCATTTTCTGGAGGAATCCAAGAAAGAAGTGACACTTGGATTAGGTCTTTTTAATTATATTGGCATCTTTCTTTTACTATGACATTTTCCTGCAATATCTTGAAGTCATGATCACAGGGAATGATGGTACTTTATGCCACCTTGCAAGTGAAAATAATCTAGGTGTGGATAAAGTTCAGTGTGTTCTCAGATCTTCAAATATCCCACATTAGAATATCTAGAAAAAAATGAACCTACCACCATGCTTCCAGACTTATCAAGAACTAAGCACACAATTCTCTGACTGATCTTCAGCAATGAGAAGACAGGTGGAGAAGGTGATGTCACCATGGGTGTGGTGTTTTTAAAGTCCTCAGAATTGCTGATCACCTCCCATGTACTTCTAAAATTGCACTTTATGTTTTGTAGGCTTGGAGCTTCTTGATTATGGTTTTTTTCATTACAGAATTCAACAACCTAAAAGGTTAATAAAATGAAAAAATAATTTAAATATACCATGCATTTGAAAATCAAACTACAAACCTGAAAAATTTGTAAATGTGTTCTGCAGATATATTGTTCATTGAATGAAATATGATTTGCTGAGCATCAATATTACAATAAGGCAGATTTACCATAATAAGAATACTGATAACTGTAATAATAGATAAACACTAGATAACACTAGTTCAGCACTTATTATGTGTTAGGCAATGTTCAAAGAACTCTATTTCAATATATGTAATCCTTAGGTCACCTGAACA